AATGTGGTATGTGTGTTTTGAAAATTGATGGCTCTGATTCAATAAATTTAGGTGAATAAATGATGAGTCATTGACAGAGAAGATGGTGAATGGCTTTCCAAACACAGCATTGCACTTGAAAACTGAAAAAGTTGTGTGTAATTCAGATTAGTGATTCTTTGATGTAGAAATGCTGCAAAAAACTAATGTAATAATTGGACAGTATTTCAATTTTTTCTTATATTTTTATGCATATTATTCAAGAGTTGAATTCAGTTTTGGTTTGTTAAGAATACATTACTTTTATTTCAGGAACTGGCACCATTTGAGGAAGAAATTATGTCACTGAAAGACCAGTTCAAACCAGAAATGTTGGAGAAAGGGTATCAATGGTGCCAAGATCGAGGTTTGGTGGCACAAGCTTGCTCCAATTGCAATACCAAGTTGGAGCTGTCCACAAAGATCAAAGATAACACCTGTGTTGGCTATTGCCCCAACTGTCAGTCAACTTGTGACCCCCTGGCAGGGACTTGGTTTGAAGAGTGTGAACTGGACCCCTGGGCTTCCATTGCCATCTTGTTTTATTGGGCTGTGGGCTACACATATCCCCAGGCTGCATCCAGGATCCAGGTGTCTCCCTCCATTGCAAGAGCTGCTTATGCTAAATGTGTGAAGTTCTCTGAAAAGGTATTCTACAGTTAATGAGCCATCAACATAATTCAAATTGTATGATTTTAATATGCCAAGTGGGGCCCTGAGCATTTGACTTTCTACAGCTCTTAAGCAGCATTGCAGCAAACCTCTTGATTTAAAAACCCATGATCAGCTGCCATTTTTTTCTGCAACCCTTTGATGGTGGTGGTGGTGGGTTCATTTCCACCAGCAGTTTTTTATTTAAATCAATTTTTGGTTGATCAAAGGATTCAAATGTTCCTTTAACCCTTGGGCGGCAAAGTCAGACTATTTTCGCGAAATTTTGTTGCACCTCAGGGCAGAAAATAAAAAAGGACAACAGGGAATTGAGGACAAAGTTGTGGAAACATCCAACGTTTTTTTCTTTTTGTCCAGAAAAATTTTGTGGGAAAATGAAAAAATTGCTATGCTAAGCAATGGGCTTTTCTTGGATTAATCCCGACTTTGCCTCAGCCCACCTGGAAGGTCTTTTCTGACCTTCAGAAAAATTAAAACGCCTTAGCATACAAGAATAATCTGATTTCGGCTGGCCATGGGAAAGAACCCTTTGCCGTCCAAGGGTTAAAAACTTAGAGACTCCACATCCTGAGTCTAGGCTTGTTTACTTCTGTCATCTTGGACCCACATTTAAACGATCCAGGATTTTATGCAGAAGGAGTGAATAAAAAAATTGTACAAACATAAATTGTGTATGAAAAAAAGTGTTTAGATGATATACACTGGATCAAACACTAACTTTGAAATTTAAAAATCTATATGAACAGCATTACAGTGCATGAATTGATATCATACAGATGGACTCTACAATGAATCTCAAGGGGACCATGGAAAAATGCATTGTAGAGGTTTGTTGCAGATAACTCCTATAACATGGGAGAATCCTATGGGACCACAACCAGTTTTTGTGCAGAGAAATATATTCTATTTAAGTTTTGTCAGCTAAATTATAACATCTCTTGACAGCTCATGCTAACCACCCTCTCCACATTGATTCTCACTAGTTGAGTTACTCAGAAATGCATTCTTATGCTCTGCAACTATTCCTTTCATGCAACAGGCACTTGCTTTGTGCAAAGATGAGCTGTACCTCGATGTTCCAACAAAACACTATGAAACGCATCAACACCAAGCTTGTCCCCAGTTCAAAATCGGAGGCAAAGGCAAGAAGGTAGAGGTTGCTGTGGTGGGGAAGAACCAGCTGGTCAAGGACAACTTTGCCATCATTGGGGCTGAAGTTGGCTCTTGGCGCTGCTTTGTCCTCCCATCCTCAATCATCAATAAAACCCTGGTGGACTTTGCAATGCACCAACGAGTCAGAGAGGGCTCTATAGTGTACCATCCCCTTAGTCTGTACCATGGAGGTGACAGGACCCAGTATTTGCCTCAGACCTTTATGCCACAAGGCACAGCAGTGGCATCTACTGAGGACAGGAAAGTGAGTGTGGAGCATGTTGACAAAGTGAGGGATGAGATGAGGGCCAATGTTCCTGAGTTGCTGTCTGCCTGGGACTACTATGTTTTTGTGGTGCAATACATGTACAACAAAAAGTTTTGGTTTTCTCCATCTGAGTCTTTCAGAAGAATTCTGGAGCACATTGCTGAGGTCTATAATAACTCACCAGAAATGACTGCTTGAAGTGGTCAGCATCCTTCATGGGACAAACCCAATTTGTGTGCTTTGGTGCATTTGTTTTCATGGTTGTGATTTGAGTGATGCAATCAAAGAACAAGCTTGATTCTGGCTGTGATCNATGCCTCTGTTGGTATTTTCGTTTTTCCTGTTTTTTCTTTTTTTTTAGAAACTTGGAACGAGGATGCATTTTCTAAAGGTTCCTCAGAAGGCATATTTTGTTATCACTGTTCAAGTGACACCGTTCGAACTTCATCCAGTAATACGAGGATGATGAAAAGATCTTATGTGAAGCTTGGCGACGCAAAGAAGAATGAGACAAGAAAGTGCAAAGACTCTGCTCGAGGTTCATCTTGGACCGGGATCATCGCAAAATGCCCTCCGGGCTTCGCCTGTGTCAAGAGTGTGAAGCATCACCCTGATGGAATAAGTAAATATTGTATCGCATTTGCTGCAGTTAGTACCACGCATACTTTTTCTCAAAATTGAGAGGGAAAAGGGGGAGTGCACGTTATATGCGAAGATAGCATTTTCAGAAATTTTTACAAATTTTTTTGCGTCACAATTCAAGTTAATGGGGGATTTCAAGACAAACTCTTGAAAGTCAAAAGAATTGAAATTATACCTGAGGTTTATCAGGTTGAATGAACCTAAATAATTCAACCTGAACAAGGTTGAATTCATGTTCAAATTTGATAATTGGTGTCTTTTACTTTTGAAATACCTTTACAGTCAACCTTTTACAGTATTTAGTGTCTCTTTTCCTGACCCCAATTAATTGCCACCCTTGCATAGTGCCACAGATTTCCTTTGAACAAATCTTCCTCCATTGTGCTTTTAAGGGAAACCCTGATTTAGTGCCAACTCACTTAGTATTAGTGCCACAAAATTGTTCCTGTCCTGAAAGAAAAATATGCAAAAAGCAGATAAAGTAAGTCTCATTTCAGGATTTTAAATTTAACAAGAATCACATGCCCATGAATTAATTTGGGAATTTTATTTCTGCATTTTCATGCAATTGGATGGTTTTACTTTGATATCTTCCCCATCAAAGAACATGTCAATAATCGGGTAAGTCTTGGAGGAAAAAATTGAAATCCCTCCACCTGATCTTGAATTGATTGCTTTCATTGAAAGGCCGACACTTTCCAATATTATAATTGACCCAAGATGTGCAAAAATTTGATAAACTGTACAAAATTTTTTACTACTAAAACACAAATTTAAATGCAGTGAAAGCAGCTCATCTGAGCCTCGAATTATGTCCAGTGGCTTCATATCTTACAAAAAAGACGCAGTGGCTCAACAATTCTTCAAACAAGCCTATTTTACCAATTTGGTAATAGATGCCCTCAAAAAATGTTCATCTAAGACAATCTAAGACAAAGCCCCAATTTAGTGCCACCCTTGCTTAGTGCCATAAAATGTGCCAGGGTGACAAATGATAACAAATTTGAATGTACCCTATTTACTCAAGTACCGTTAATGTACCCTTGAGTAAAACACGCATCTATAGTTTCTTGGTCCTAAATTTGGTCAAAATTGTATCCCAAATATGACAAGCACCCCATGTTTAGTGACTGGTAAAGTGCGAAGATTTAAGAATAAAATGAAACAAAATTTTAAAATGTTTGCTTTAACTGATCCCAAAAAGGATCAATTTTCCATTCTTTCCATTAAAATGTATTCCTTTGAATTTTTTTAAACATTTCTGTGAAGATCACGTATTTACAAACACAAACTTAGTTTAAATGTGAACGTTTGTGTATCAGCTGACAATGACACGCATCCTCTTTTTCCACTTGGTTTTGGAAAGAAAGTAAGTGTGGTACTGAAGCAAATACGGTATTGCAGTTTTTCAGTTACTAAAACTAGTAGGGTGATGTGCTTTACCTTGGGATAGAAAATCCTCCAAATGTTAAGGTGAAAATTTGGGGAGCTTGTTTAACTTCCAAGGCACATGGTGGATACGGTAGATTTTCTTTTTCATGAAAGAAAACTGTGAATAAAAATGATCTAAATGCCTTGCACATCCTGCACGGCCACATTTAACACATAGGAGCAGATGAGGGAACTGTGACCAGGAGCTGTGCACCTCTGCAGGACTCTTTTGGCAAGATGCAGCCCTCAAATGGCTGCTTCCATGGAGCAGGTCCTCGGAACTCTTTGCAGAGAAATGCTCCAGCTGCTTCGGAGATGTTGGTATGCTTCTGTGACCAACACTACTGCAACGCTGCCATCGGAAGAAACGTTCTGTGTACTCAGTTATTTTACTCTTTCATCTTTGTCTGCGTCATTTTGAAATTTTTTTTGAATAAATCCAAATGAATCAAACATTTTTTGTCAGGAATGTTGAAAATCTTCATTCTATGGTGCATCACCATACATACAAGGGTTCTAACAAAAGTTCTCAGAGTAGCAATGAAAATGGCCTACAGTTGACCTGAAACAAATTTTTTCTTTCGGGAAAACATATTCTTTGGCACATAAAAAATAACAGCCCTGTTTGACAATTTTTTTTCATAATTCACCCTGATGGAGTTTTACTCTCCACTAAAAAGGCAAGATGCCCTTTTTTGTTGTAGCCCAGCTTTCCCCTCAGAATTTTTAAAAGCAGTTAGCCAAGTTAGCCATTTTCATTGCTACTCCAAGAACTTTCGTTAGAACCCTCGTATTTCCCCTATTATTATGCAGAGTAGAAGCATGTTCAACATTATGCAGTTGGATCCAGCAAAGTCAGA